CAAATCATATTCTTCCACAGTGAGTCTTTTTCATTTGCGAACTTCCATACCCATTTACCTAGCAGCACTCTGTTAGCAAAATTCAAATCCAAGATTCCCAGCCCTCCCTCCTCTAAGGGTTGAAAGACCCTTTTCCAATTCACCCAGTGAATCCGACTTTTTGAAGAACTTTCCCCCCACAAAAAGTTTGCCATAATAGAGTTCAACTTCCTATAAACCTTACTCGGAATTCTAAAAATAGAGAGGAAGAAAATAGGCAATGAGGATAGAACTGACTTAATCAACACCAATCTGCCCGCCATAGATAGTGTGGAAGCTTTCCACCCGGATAATTTTTTGATGAAACTTTTCACAACTGGCTCCCAAAGAGCCTCTGTATTTCTTTTTGCACCTAGTGGTAGACTTAAATAAACTGTGGGAAGAACCCCAACGGCGCAACCAGTCTCCTTAGCCCTTTCATTAACACCTCGTCTTCTACATTAATTCCATACAAACTGCTCTTCGACAAATTCAAATGTAGCCCAGTCATTATGCTAAAAATCCGCAAGACTCGCTTAATATTAAGAATGTAAGTAGATGAGTCTCGGCAAAATAAAATCAGGTCATCAGCAAACTGTAAATGAGTTAAACTTAGGGAATCCGGTCTTCCGAAAGCAAACCCCTGAAAAAGTCCCTCATCCGCTGCTTTCATTAACATATGATTCAACAGTTCCCCCACTAAATTAAACAAGAGAGGAGACAAACTACATCCTTGTCTCAACCCTTTGCCCATCGAAAACTCCTCTGTAGGAGAGCCATTCACTAACACCGATATAGACGCTGTGGTGAGGCAACATTTTATCCATGAAGCCCATCTCTCCCCAAAGCCCATGACTCTCAATAATCTGAAGATAATTGGCCATTCAACCGAGTCATACGCCCTCTGAAAATCAGCCTTAAAAACTACCCCTTTCAACCCTTGCTTCCTCCAGCAGTCTATACATTCATTTGCAATAAAAGCACAATCTAGAAGTTGTCTCCCCGGAATGAATGCAAATTGTGAAGGACTTACAATACCTTGAATCACTGAACTTAGTCTCCTTGCTAAGACTTTAGAAATGATTTTATAGACTGCCAACTAGACTTATAGGTCTATAATCTTCAATAAGTTCCGGATTATTTTTCTTAGGGATCAGAGAAACAAACGCATGATTTACTCCATGATCCCATTTTCTCCCATAATAAAAATCCTCCATAAACTTCATAATTTGCCCCTTCAAAGTTGGCCAAAATTTCTTGTAGAAACCCATCGTAAAACCGTCAGGACCTAGAGCTTTAGAGTTGTCCGAAGAGAAAATAGCCTCCCTTACTTCCTCCTCTGAAAACATAACCTCCAAGCTATTCCTTTGATCTCCACTCAATTTATCAAAATTTAAATTCAAGTTCTCCACCTCTAGATAATCTTTAGAATTATAAGCATTCTTGAAGAACTGGGAAACAAAAACTTTAATCGAGTCAGGATCTGTCATCACCTCCCCCTCCACTTTCAATGCCGAAATATTGTTAAATCTGTTTCTGTTTACAGCACATAGATGGAAAAACCTTGTGTTTCTATCACCATCTTTGATCCATTTCGCCCTCGACAGTTGAAACCAAATACTTTCTTCAATTCTGAACATTTTCCAAAGCTCTTTTCTGGATGACAATAACTGATCCCAATCCAAAGAAGACAGCCCACTACGTTGCGCTTGAATTTCCATGTCATTTATTTTGTTCTCCAACCCTGCAATAGCTTCAGATATCCCCTGTTTACTTCTGAATGGCCAATCCTTGATACATTTTTTGGTTCCACGCAATAAACTAAACATTCCATGTCCCCCTCTATCATTTACCCGATCTGACATTATATTTTGAACCATTTCTACAAAGCCATTATCCTCCAGCATATAGTTAAAAAACCGAAAGGGTTTAGGACCCCAGTTTTTCCCATCTTCTATCAATTGTATCGGGTTGTGATCAGAAAGAGATCTAGGGAGTAATTTCTAGATCAACTTGGGGAAGCAACTTAAAAAACTGCTACTCAATAAGAAACGATCAAGCCTTACCCAAGTTGAGATTTCTCTATTACTACCCCAAGTGAAAGTGCCACCTACCAAAGGAAGATCCATTAAATTTGATTGTTGTAGGAAACTCCTAAGCAAACCCATTGAATGCCAGTTTTGTGAGGCCCCAATCTTCTCCTCTTGTTCGAGATAAGTGTTAAAATCTCCCCCAATGCACACTGGCAGATTTATCGAGTGAACATAACTCAACAACTGTCTGAAAAACTCCTTTTCTTCCTCTACAGAAGGACCGTACACGTTAATAATGACACACTCCGCTTTCGACACCTTAAACTTCCCTGATAACACCTGAAATCTACTATGATTACACACCTCAATGACCTCATAGGCATTTTCATTCCACAAACACATCAGTCCACCAGCTGACCCATCTGCTGGCTGAAAACTTAATCCCCTCAGCAGCTTTCCTCCTAGTTTCCTATTAAGCCCCTTCTGACTTTTACTCAGCTTTGTCTCCTGTAAAAGCAGTATGGCCGGTTTGACCTTATTCACAAGTCTCGAAACTCCTCTAATTTTTTCCTTTCTTCCTAATCCCCTAACATTCCACGAAACAATATTGCACTCCATCATAGTCGCTTCAAACCCAAACCTTCAAGACACAGAATCTGGCTCACTGGCCAGCTTCATTAACTACCCCTGCAGCTTCCTCTATCTTTCTAATTTTATCCATGAACGCCTCCTTCCCTTCCTTGAAAGAAATGCCCAAAATCTGACAGACTTCCCAAGTATTCAATGCTTCCTCGAGAGCATTAGAGAAAGAACGAGAGTAGACTGTAGATACTTCTACATTAGCCAAAGCTTCTGAAATTAAACCTCTTCTCTTCTTTCTGTATTTTCTCCTGTTTCTTGAAGCAATGACCGAATCTGCCACCCCCCTGACAGGAGGAATACTGCAACTAGTATGGCCCATAGTAGTATTCTGCACATGGGTTGAACCAGTGATATCCTTGTCCTGACCCCTATCCCCTGAAGCTAATTCAATTTGCTTAAAATTATGAAGAACCAGCCTGTTCTGAATTTGCTTATGACTATTTTCTGAACATAACCAGACTCGTCTTGTTTTCGATCTTCTATACACCCTAACCACACGACCACAACCCCTCAAACTTTCAGAAGTCTTACTAATAAACAAGCCTTTAGATACCTGATATCCCAATCTCCATCTCCTGCACCTCATCATCTTTGAATTACTGCTAACCTTCTTAGACTTGCTTCCTTTGACATCCTCATCTAAAACCTCTAATCCCTTACTGACTTCATTTGCCTCCTCCACCCTGATACTACTATTCTCATCGTAAGTTTCAAAAATTGTTTGATCCTGAGAATTGCTATCATTGTCCACAGGACTACGCTGGGCCAGAGAAACAAACCCAAACTGCTCAGGCCCAACCTCCTCAAATCTGCCCATTTGGGAATTAATCCCACAATCTTTGACACCTTTATCTTGCCCCGAGGTGTCACCTTCCACGCTGAAAACCCTTTTCCACTCCACAGAAGGAACTTCTGTCACTTTCTGCTGACTTTTAGCCTTACCTAGTACTATCCCCTCGACACAATGGACAGTCCCTAAAATATCATTGACTTCCATGTTTAAATTCAAAATACCATCGATCAACGTGTCATCCCCAAGAGAAACGCCTGACACCCTCTGACAGTTCAACTGCTCATTGAGATCTTCTCCATCAATCCCATTGATCCCTTCCAACTGAGTCTCTTCCCCCGGGACAACTCCTCCATCCACATAACCATCTTCTTCCACCCCATCATCTAGCTCAGGGAAGAACTCATCACATCCTTCCACTTTAATTTTAATGCTAAAAGATCTCCCATATGTATTAATGGTTTCCTGGGACGGAATATCAAACGGGCTCTCCGCTCTTAACAGCATATGAGCCACCCTACAATCCACTCTTTGAGCAGTTTGATCCTGAATCTTCACTAACTTGCCCCATCTCGCTGCCAATCTAGAGAAGAAAGAAACTGACCAGCAATTGAGAGGCACACCCATCAAGGATACTTTACAGAAATATAAAGGAACACCCTTCTCCTCCATGACCGGCTCCAACTGATCAAACCAAAAAGACAACGCCTCCCATTTGTTCTTCACCGCTTCGTTTTTCTCTTCCACAGACTGAAAAACAACCAGACAGGCATTTTTCGCAAAACCCCACCTTACCACCTTAACATTAAAGCCCTCGGTCCTTAAGCCTCTTTGTACAAGTTCAACTTCGAAACTTTGCTTGCATATCCCTGTTAGAGATGATCTCAACCAAGTTCTTTCTTCATTTGGAATATGCACATCCAAAGACTTCTTAACCCCCCTCGGAACTTCATAGCTGGACCTCTGCTGAACCTCAATATTGTCCTTTCCCACTACCGACTCCTTGTAAGATCTTCCATCATGATATTTCCCTAGTAACTCCCTTCTTCTCGCCTCAACTTGGCCTATTGAACTCTTCCCACGCGGCTCCACTTCTCTGTCCGCACCCGACCCCACTCCAGTATCTCGCTCTCTTCCCCTCAGAAACCTTCTTTTATGGAATTTTGCAATCGACACCAATATTTTCCTTCCATCTACCATAACGTTATTCATCCTATCCTTTGCATTGAACAGATCCTCCTTACTAGCAAAATGCACAAACGCGAATGTATGATCCTTGTACTTTGGTCTCCTATTAACGAACGGAATGAATACCTTGATCACCTTGCCGAAATAACTAAAACGCTCCCATAAAACGCTTCTATGCACTCGCCTACTAAGATTATCAATAAAAGCTACCCATGCTCCTTCTCCAGGCGATGCTCCGCCTCTACCAGATGAACCAAAACCAAGCGCCACTTTCCCTCTCTCACTAGATTTCTCACTCATGTTTTCTAGCAGTTATTTTCTTTTGAAACACTGGAAAAATATACTACAGAGCAATGTTGAAGAACAGGTTTCCAGCTGTTCTGAAGACGGAGGAGGAAAGCAGGGTGTTACAGGACTTCCATGTAGTTGACGTAGAGATTCCAGGGCAGTATTTCAGTGATCAGGTAACAAAACCAAAACTTTCATGTTAGTTTCTGTACTCTTTTGTTGGGTAAACAACAATTTACGAGAATGACATTCTAGTCTTCCAGACAATCTGAATGCAACATGTTATTGAACTTCCCTAAATTTGTCAAGCAAATGCCAGCGAGAACAACAAAGTTGACTTGCAGCTTTCTACAATTACTTGTTCTAGGTAAAACTAATCATCTCTTGGACTACCAGGAAATTGCACCTGATCACACAATAAAGTTAGATCGTGTTGGAGCTGATATACAAATTGTTAGAAGGCATGGAAGCAGCTTTCGTCGTTTGACTCTGATTGGCTCTGACGGTTCTCAACGGCATTTCATTGTCCAGACATCTTTGACTCCTAATGCTAGAAGTGATGAGCGGACACTGCAACTCTTCCATGTAATGAACCAAATGTTTGATAAACACAAGGAATCCCGACGACGTCATATATGCATTCACACACCAATTATAATTCCTGTTTGGTCACAGGTGATTACTCTTACATGATAATATCTCTAATCCATTGATTTCTTTTATAGTTATGTGTAGGCGTCCGAATTCTGTAGATGTCATGTCGGAAACATTTTATAGCTTTGCATGCATGGAGACAGGGCCAGACTGGACCTGCATATAGCAGTTGGTCCCAGCATGCTATTCCTGTTTTATCCCCACCAAGATTTAAGAATAACCTATATTCTTTGACAGGTGCGCATGGTTGAAGATAATTTGATGTACAGCACATTCCTCGAGGTGTATGAAAACCACTGTGCAAGAAATGACCGAGAGGCAGATCTTCCCATTACCTACTTCAAGGAGAAATTAAACCAGGCCATATTGGGGCAAATTTCCTCTGAAGCTGTGGTAGATCACCGCCTACAAGCATACAATGATATAACAAAAAATCTTATAACGGATGGTATCTTTTCCCAGTACATGTACAAGACCCTACCAAGTGGTAATCATATCTGGGCTTTCAAAAAGCAATTTGCTGTCCAGTTAGCTCTGTCGAGTTTCATGTCTTTCATGCTACAAATTGGGGGAAGGTCTCCGAATAAGATATTATTCACGAAAAACACGGGGAAGATATTCCAAATAGATTTTCATCCTGCATATGATGCAAATGGGATGATCGAATTTGGCGAACCAGTGCCTTTCCGTCTGACAAGGAATATGCAAGCATTCTTCTCCCATTTTGGTATGGAAGGCTTAGTCGTATCTTCAATGTGCGCTGCCGCACAGGCCATAGTCTCTCCCAAGGTATGGTTTCTTAGCATTTGTAAACCAACCAAAGAAATCTCATCCAATGTCTGATTTACATATTTTTTTACTACCAGCAAACGCAGCTTCTGTGGTATCAGCTAGCCATGTTTTTCCGCGATGAGCTGCTTTCATGGTCTTGGAGAAGACCAGGGATGCCACTTGCCCCTACCGCTGGAGGTGGTAGCATGAATCCTGCCGACTTCAAACACAAGGTTATTACCAATGTTGAGAATGTTATTGGCCGGATCAATGGAATAGCACCAGAGTGTTTGTCTGAAGAGGTAAAAGTTTTTGGGTAACCTATACGTTTAGTTTAAACTATTACTATTGTTCTGTTTTGGTACTCAAACTTTATTCTTTTAAATATCATATCTAATGTTTAGTTTAGGTTTTATTTTGGTACCTTATCAGTGAAAATTTAACGGTTATGTTGACATGTCATCATAAGGTAATATCATGTCATCATTGAAAAAAATACCACGTCAACAGTTCTGTTAATTTTTTAACGGTGGGGTATCAAATTAAAACATGAATTAAACGTTAGGTATGGTTTTGAAAAATAAATAAAGTTTAAGTATCAAAATGAAACAAAAGTAATAGTTTAAGTACTAAATGTGTAGTTTAGTCAAGTTGACTACACTCAAGTTTCTGTTTATGCGTTGTTGTTCTATAGTAGCTGTTCCTTTTGGTTCTCCGACTTAAAACGCTTGTTGGTGGTGTATTCAGGAGGAGAATGTAATGGAGCAACCGCAATCAGTACAGAGGGGTGTAACTCAGTTAGTTGAGGCTGCCCTGCTACCCAGGAATTTATGTATGATGGATCCTACGTGGCATCCTTGGTTTTGATGGATCCATTTGTATTTTTGGTACGCCACGTGACAGTGTTGTAGATAATTAATTTAACAATGTAGAAATTGTTCACATAATTGATTTTGGCACCAAAACAAATATTTTAAGTGACCAATCCAACGGATCAATAATTTAATTTATCTAACAAAAGATAATATAATTAGGTTGATGGCGGCGAAATTTTTTTTATTGTCTTTATTGAATCATTTCATTGACCAAAGAATATCCCCTGCCTGAGTCTGCCATGAAAAGAATGTCACTCATCCCGTTACTCCTCCGAAGAATATCCGTTGTTGGTTAGAGATGAGTAAAATATAATTTGATTCGTATAATTGATATTTTTTACTCGACTCAAAAAGAATTAAATTAAGTTTGAACTATAAAATAAGATGTTAACTCGAGCAATGTAAATTTTTTTTTTTTAGATTACGCCCACCCCTCTGGTGTTGGCACAGCCTTCATAATCCTCAATCTCCCCCAATTTTCCTTTCCCTTCAATTCAGCATCACTGCTGTCTACGAATCTTGTGTGCTTCACTGTAAACATTCATACAGTTTATCCACCAATCCATCATCTTCATAGTAGTTATCTCCCATTTCTTCAAAGTTCTTCATCATTGTCTTCGTCTTGTGTAAACCTAGATAACTATTGTAATACAATATATTTTTTTTCAAAAATATATAAATTTAATTATTTTTATATTAGTTTGGAGTGATTATAAGGTACTATTGTTTAAAAGATTTACAACCATTTAACAATGAATGTTTAAACATTCCTATAGACGTGCTCAAATCCGGAACTTCTACAGATAACAATTATTTATCTAACCATTGAAATTACTTTGATCGTTTGGGTTGCTACAATTAATCAGTACATCGTGTGGATAAAAGAACTAGTATGTACTATTAGGCAAATGTATTGCATATACCATCATATGAAGCCAATAACTGAATTTGGATTACCAATATTATGCCTCTGGTTCCTGCAACTATTAGACCTTGCCGATCGTAGACAATGTTCTAGAACTTGATCCCTGCAAATGGGACAATTCAACGATGGAACCTCCAGCCATTCTTCAGTACACTTCTTATGGAACATGTGCTTACACCTCGGCAGCACCCTCACCCTGTCTCCATGCACGTACCCTTCCAAGCATATAGCGCAGTTTTGGTCCTCCAAATTCGTGTCGAAACAAGACGACCGCGTCGACAGCGCCGTTGATTCTTCGTATACGAGGACAGGAATCTGCTTGAGTTCGCTGTTGATGGACTGTCTTGGCTCGGTGGGATTCTCGTCCGAGGATTCGTTTGATCTTTGAAAGTATTTGTAGAGTAGGAAACCGATGAGACCAAGACTTACCACCGAAATCGTGATTGTGAAAGCAATGCGGTCAACTATTATTTGTTCGTACTGGTCATTGTGCGGTGAAATCTGTTCTCCCAGCAAATGTCTATGCATGTTTTGAGTCGAACTTTTGGAAGGCTCCGGTGAGAATTGTTTTTAAAATAGTCCTAGATGAGTATAAAGTAATATCTGTTCAGAGAAGATTGATCATTCAAAAAATATATATAAGGAAGATGGAGTTAAATAGTAAAAACAATGGCTTAGCCTTGAAGAAAACGTCTAATCTTCCAAATTTTAAAGGTTTAATAAGTGAGGAAACCACTCATTAATCATTTATAAAAAAAAATTAATCAGTAGGGATTATTGATTATTATTACGCCACGATTTGATTTTGGCTTGTAGTTAATTACGTTACCATCGGTTCGTCATTATCCTATTTTTTGCCACAAGTAAAACCATTAAGTGATTGGCGGTGTGTTAGAAAATAGTAACTGTAGTACTGCTATCAATTGAGAAGTAGCGGTAGAGAGGAATGAATAAAAGAATATTGATCAAGTGTATTGCTTTTTCACTGAATTCAAGAACCTTATCCCTAACTAACCATACTAGTTCAACTGCTTGTTAGTTAGCTAAAACCTTCTGATCTAAACAAATTCATCCTCAAGTTTCATTACGCACAACCATTGTGGAAGGGAGGGGTAATATCGGTCACCTAAGATTCTTTCGGAACATAATTCACTTGAAGATCTTGTGTCAGAACCTTGTCCAGAATAAAATGTAAGTCAAGGTCCACATGTTTAGTTTTGGCGTGTAAGACAGGATATGGAGACATTGCAATAGTGCTGGTGTTACTATGGGAGCTTCATCAAGTGACACTCCCATCTGGTGTTACTATGGGAGCTTCATCAAGTGACACTCCCATCTCAGCTAGAACCCACATCACATGTAGCATCTGCAAGATTTTGATACTCAACCTCTATCGTGGACCTGGAGACTGGCCGTTGCTTCTTCGAACTCCAAGATAGCTAGTGAGGACCAAGGTTAGACCCGATACCTTAAGACTGACAGTATGTCATCAGGGTCACTGCTCCGGTCTGCATCGAAGAATGTTGTAGTGGTCACCTATGCCAGAGACCATAATCCAAGGTGATATGCAGAGACCGAAGGATTCTCTTTAGGGAAAGCCAATGAGCATGCTGAGGATGTTGTATGTATTGAGCAACTTTGTTGAATGGAAAGGCTATGTCCGGACGAGTGTGGCGGGTGTATTGTAAAGCACCTACAATGCTTCTATACTGACGAATATCCTTCAAATCTTCACCATCTCAACTTAGTTTAGGTGTCACAGCAATGGGAGTGTCTACTGCCTTTGCATTTGACATGTGAGCGTTAACAACTGAATATATTTAATTTGAGACAGGAATACCCCACCTACAAGCAAGTATTGCAAGGACCCAAGGATTAAGAGGGAAAATCTACAATGAAATTGTTGAATGACTTGTAATATATGAACCTCAGAACTGGCTGTCACTAAGATGTCATCAACTATGTTGCTGCATATGCGTGTACCCCGGGCAGCATAATTGTAAATCAACAAAGAAAAATACGATGTTGAGGCCTGAAACTGCAAAGATTGAAGTAACAGCTTCCCTTTCTCGATGCGTACTCTTCTAAACGTATAACATTGTTTTATGTTCACAAACATCATTGTTTATAAACTTATTTATAAATTTATGTCTAAAATTTATATTTTTACTATAAAAGATATGTTTGGATTTTTTTATTTATAATACAAGTATTAATAATATTCATGTTCGGTTATTTTATATTAAAATAAAAAAATATTATTTATTTACTATTAACAAATTTACTTTTAATTGTTTACGAGCATTTACAATCATATATTTACGAATATATTTGTTAACATACTCATTTAACGTTCATGAACATATTTATTTACCATGTTCATTAATATTAAAATTTAAAAGATTGAACATGAACATATAACTTTAAATAAACTAACACAAACAAAATTTTAACATTCATATAAAATATGAAGAAAAAAAGAACAAACAGGTTTAAAAATAATCAAAAAAAAAATAAACAAGTAAAAATGACTTCCTCAAACTTAGTCTACTTATGGTCCGATTTATGTTTGCAAACTAAAAAAACACATGCATTTATCTGCTGGTAATTTCTATTGCCACATGATGGCCTCTGCTGCGGGTTTATTAGAGTTTTAATACAGAGTCTTGTACCACGGAATAGTTTCGGTGTTCATTCAAGATGATTGATTGATGAGGAAAATTTCTCCTCTTTGAATAAATTAAATGGTTGAGTGATGAAGACAACTTCTCCTTGAATCGTATAATAACATCATTCAACCAACAAAAAGGAAACAGATTACATTACAGGAAGCTGATCCTACGGTGGTAAAAGATGCCTGATGATGACATCCTCACCAAATGCACTGGCAAATTTGATCCCATTTCATCATCCAATATGAACTAACATTCAGCACCTTCAATACATGTAATAATACTTTCTAGCATGAATGAAAGACTCCACTTTCTAGCATAGAAGAGGTTGAAATGGATACAGTGATTTACAACTGTATGCCAGTATTGAGGAGCAGAGTGGGAAGCGTATATTTGCATATTCTCCCATCAAACTTGGGCTGAAAGATCACCATCACTTCGGCCGAGATTTCATAGAAGCCCATCTAAAGTAACCGCAATTCGCTTCAGGGTTAGAAGAAGGGCCCTGTAAGATGCCAAAATAACAACTCAATTACCAAGTATAACTTGCACCTTTCCTAACATAAACTGCACTCGAAGTGCAGAGTACTTAATGATTTGATGAAAAACACATACCTCGGCTCGAGCGCACACATAGAATCTATGACCAAAAGTAGGACCTGGTTTCTTCACTACTCGAGAAATACAAGGTTCTCTATGGCCCTTGCAAAGAGGAATGCTGTTCTGCATGAGTTGTTGGATCCTTTGCCACTGCAGTAACGCGTCGCCGTTCTTCTGTTTCTCCAAATAACTTCTATCTCGTTCTTCTTGACCCTGTGAGAATGCACTCCCATTTGTGTCATTTTTCTTTGGACTACATAGACAATCCAGTTTTTCTCGACCCTGAGAGGATGAAATCCCATTTGTTTCATTCTGCATTATGCTGCATCTACAATCATCTATCACAGGAGCTTCCAGGGACTGATTGCTAGAGTTTAGGGCAACAGCCTGGCTAGTTGAAATATCAGTAGCAGAATTGTCAACGCCTTTATCTATGTTTGAACTTTTCTGGAAAAATGATCTCAATGAGAGCTGTAGGCTTTTTCTTGCTTTTTTCCTCGTTTCTTTGTTTGGCAATGAACCGACATACTGCTTGTTGAATGCAATTGGAGGATTACAAGCAGCCTCCTCTGTGAGATCTTTAGAATGACCAACATTTAGGATGGGATTATCAGAATCCTGATCCGAAGAACAGCAGGACATATCGGTTCCAAGAACATCACTATTAGCCATAGACCTTTTGACACCATGACTGCAACCTCCTGAGATGATACTACCATCAGTAGATGAACCAGATACTACATGGGATTCGACTTGCTTAGAATCTTGCCTTCTCATTAAAACTGACGCTGTCCAAATAAAAAAAGGGAGAAAAATCTTTGAAAATTTAAGATGCTGCAGAAATGATTCTGTAAAGATGGGAATACTAATTTTAAATAAGAATAATACACAAAAATGGGGATAAATCTTGTACCAAGAGTTTGCTGCAGACCATGAACCATTGGCAAATATCTAGCAGCTAAGGATGGAGTGCTATGTACCGAGACATCTGGGATATCCACTAAGCATGTATAAACAGGTGCATGGTCCGAACCTTCTAACTTAGTGTTCCACCCTCCATTCCACCTACACGAGGAAAAATTGACAAAATCATGTGAACAGAATGACCAAAGTGTTCCACATTGTCAGAGTTGATTTATAATAACATGATACTTCTTCTTTGAACCAGATTCCTTTAGAACATCTGAACCTCCAAATGAGCCATCAATTCCCACAAGGCACTAAAAATATTCACTTGATAACTGGGATAACAAGCCTTATTCCAAAAAACGATGAGAGAGAGTGTCAGAGAGAAAGCTGAAGAGAGAGAGATTGTCAGAGAGAGAGCTGGAGAGAGAGAGAGAGAGTATCTTAGGTCTTCATTCCTCCGGTGAGGATTGGATGGTGTTTGTGGACAATCTGAGCAAGAGAGTCTCTAGGAGAACAGTTAAGGAAATTTTTCAACAACAGGGTCGTGTATTGCGAGTTTTCATTCCGAGTAGTTCTAGTAAACCGAACTATAGAAACCACACGTTTGCTTTCGTTCAGTTTGCTAAGGAGAAAGGATTGAAGAAGGCGGTGGAAAATGTAAATGGTATTTGGATTGATGGAAAGAAAGAAAATATCTGTCGGGGTAGCTAAGTATCAGAAGCAGAGGTCTAGGCAAGTTGCCAGTAGAAATTCCATAAGAGAAGAAGATACGTTGTATAAGGGAGGGAATTGGAGAAGAAAAGTTGATAATGAGTCCTTTAATCGATTGAGAGATGAAAGATCATATAAGGATGTGTTAGCCTCCAATGTTGGGCTGAGGGAAGTTCTGGTGAGCAAAGAAAATAGGGAGGGGATTCCTAGAAAGAAATCGGGGTTGAGGAACTTGTGGGAGATGCACATTCCCTCGGATGAATCGGATTGGGTGAAAAGATCATTGACAGGGATCATTAAAACACACTTCGATTTGGATCTAGTGATGAAGGGTCTGGCTAGTGATGGGATCAAAGTCAAGTTAGCTAAATGGGGTTATGCAAGGAACTCATGCATTTTAACCTTTGCTTCAGTGGAAGAATTAAAGGAGGCGTGGCCGAGTAGATTGGAGATATTGTCATTTTGGTTTGAATGGCTTGATATGCTTCTGAATGAGGAAGGCTTACCGATGTCTTTTTGCTCGGTTGAATTAGTTGGAGTTCCCTTATTATGTTGGAATGTCCCGTTCTTGGAAAAACTTGTTTCAAGGTGGGGGAAGCTGATTTGCATTCAAGATTCGACGGTTAGAAGAGAGGATATGGCGGTTGCAAGGGAACTGTTGAGGGTGGCCAGTAGGTCTGTAAATGAACTGAACGTTCAGGGAACCGTTCATGAACCGTGCGGCGGGAAGTTCGTTTATGTGCGTTTATTTATTAAATGAGCGAACATGAACAAGATTTTATGTTCGTTTAATTAAATGAACGAATACGAACATATGTCTCGTTCGTTCATTTACGTTCGTGAACGTTCGGTTATGATCGTTTATGTTCGTTCGGTTATGTTTATTTATGTTCGTTCGGTTATGTTCGTTTATGTTCGTTCATTTATGTTTAACCCAATCTTCTTAAATCAATTTTGGTGACCAATTTGTAAGTATCTTAAAAATATTAATTAATCTGATATTCTGATGACCAACTCCATAATTAACCCAATTTTATTTGGAGATTAAATCCAATATGTTAACCCGTGAGGCACCTCGTACCTATATTCATTTTCTCCTTTTTTTTCCCAAACCCTAGTGTTTACTGGAGAGTGGAGACGATCAGTGAAAGCTTCAAAACAAGTTATATTATAATGCAATCTGAAGTTTTACATGTATGTATTCATCTCTTTCTTTGTTTTATTTGGCTTAATATTTGATATGTAAAGTTATTGTGGGTATCTTCACATCTAAAACTCAAGAAAACATCATACTTCTTTCTAGAAATAGATAGGAAGATAAAGGTAACAATCGGAAGTATATGAGCATCAGTAAAGAGAAAAATATATAGAATTTGCCAGAAAACAAAACAAAGGTTTCTATGCAATTTCTGAAAAAGAGTGTAATAGCGGAAATAATGGGTTTTTCAGGAAGAACCCATTAATAAATAGAAAATACACTTTGACAATGAACTTTTGTTTTCATAGTTTTTGTGTGACCTTTAGTTGTGGAGTAGACTTTTGGTACGTTAAAATTTTGAATAGTGTTTTAACAATAATATCAATTAGATATGTAACATCGGATGGATTTCGGATCTATGTTATTGCCTTGTAGTCCAATTTGTACCGTTTGAAATCTTCATGCTATTAAATTTTCTACTCTACCAATGGAAAAGACCATTATTAACAAATCTCACTAAATTCTGACATTGATGTCACAAAACTTTTAGCCGGCGAATTTATTATAATAACATAGTGGAAAATGATTGTTCATATGTAATCATGGATCACTAAGATAAATGTTGTAGTGTTAAATTAAAGTCGTGTAAATCATTTAATATCTTTAAAAGATTGATCGAAATATTTGATATCTTTAAACATTTTATCACTGCTAATCAATTTTACGCTATTTATCACTGTAGATTTGGTTGATTTGCATTGTCGACTATTTTTCATGAAAGAACAATGGAAGGTAGGGTCTCCAATGTTTATGTTCGTGTTCATTTATGTTCGTGTTCGTTTATGTTCGTTTATATATTAAACGAACGAACATGAACAAGCTATATTCCTTAATGAACGAACATGAACAAAAAAATTTTTATTCGTTTATGTTCGTTTATTTATTAAATGAACGAACATGAACATACCTCCGTTCGTGTGCGTTCGGTTTGTTTACAGGCCTAGTGGCCAGTCCTTTTGATATACTGGAAACAGTCACACTTGGATCGTATGGGAGATCTTATTTGGTTAAAATTAATTTGGGCTCGGTTTATATGAAACATAATGGTTTATCAGTAGTGAATTCAGCGGTGGACGACGGTGGAGTATACAGGGAAGTTGCAGCATCAGAGGAGGGAGATGATCGGTGCTTAGGAGGGGTTGGTAGGCTCGACGTATTAGACGAGGATACTAGAGGTAGAGTCGACACGTGGTTGAAAGGGGATGAATGTACTGCTGTGGCTGGCGGCTGTGAGGGTCAGCATTTATTGTGGCAGGTAGAAGGTCAACCTAGTGGGGAAAGGGTGTCAGAAATACCAGAAGAAAATTTGAATCTAAAAGGGGAATATCTGGGCCTTGGGTTGAGGAATAATTTCTGTTATGGTAGTGAAAAAGCCCAGTCAGATGACTTTAGTGAGCCCAACTCAAATAATACAAGATTTTCTCTAACTGGGCCAGTTGTTAACTTAATAAAATTGGGCCATGGAAAACAGAAAGATTCTCGGGTGGACATTCTAGGTGATCTGCAACAGACAGATTTGGAGAAATTAAACTTGCAGAATTTGGTGCCTGCTAGGCTTGACTCCAATTTAAAAAGGAGTGCTGGAGAATCAAATGTCAGAGTACAGTCTCAATGTAGAGGGTTTTCTAAAAATAATAATTTTGAAGGGTTAGAGGAAGAAGTTGAACTGGACAAAGAAGAAAGAAGTATGGAGGAAACAGAGGTGGAAAGGGAAGTCGCACCAGTCCAAAGGTTGGAATTCAGGTGTTGGGAGCCAATCAGGAGTCTTTCTCAAATGGTTTAAGGAGTTGGAGTCCTTTGGATCACTTGTCTAGAAGTTTGTGCACTAGGAACGTCCCAATAGGAAGGTGGAATAAATGAATTGTTTATAAAGTATATAGAAGATCTAGGGTAAGAAAGGTGTGGTTTAATCTGAGCAGAGAAGATGGGGGACTTCAAACAAGGGAGTTGGTTGTTCAAAATAGGAAAATTCTAAACCCTCTTTCGAGCAGTCAATCATATCTAAATTCCTTGGTGGAAGGATCCAATTCCATTGATGAGGAAATTGGTGTTCCTCATATTTCAGCAGTGGATATTTCTCAACATTCAGGGAATGTATAAGTGTTCTCTATTGGATCTAAACCTGTTTCTATGGCAGGGATAGTGAGTAGAAGAAAGAGAAGGCTTTTGATTAGAGAAGCTTTGGATGTGGTTAGCTTCCCTACTGTTTATTCTTCAACATTCTCGTTGTTCTTGGAGGAGGCATTGGCTACATGGGAAGTTAGCAAAATACTGGGGATATCTTTTAAAGAGGGGAAGAAGGCCTTTCTGGATAAAATTATAAATTTTGAGGAGGGATTGGTCGAAAGTAGGGAACGGGGGAAATCAGGGGATTAGATTTCTTTTGTTAACTAGCTTTAAGGCTTTGGTGTTAAATTTCTCGTTATGATAAATGTCAACATAATTTCATGGAACGTAAGGGGTTTTGGAAAAAAGGGAAAAAAGGGAAAATCAAGAGTTGTAGCTAATTTGGTAAAGAAGAATAAGCCGAGCTTTCTTCTCATTCAAGAAACAAAACTAGAAAGTTGCTCTTTGGCTCTTAGGAGAAGGATAGGGGGGAGACTTCTTAAAGGAGGAATTGTTGCTCCAGCAGTGGGATCTGTAGGTGGATTAATGATTATGTGGAATGACAATGATTTTGAAGTCTCCAACATCCACTTAAATGGCAGATTCATAGCAGTTTTTGGGATGTTTAGGAATTCAAGTGAAGAGTGTGTGATTATTAATGTTTATGGTCCATCCATTGAAGTTGAAAAGGAAGATTTTTTCAGGGAGCTGTTGGAGTTTGTTTCTGCTCAAAATTTATCGGTGTGTATTGGGGGGGACTTTAATGTGTATCTCGATCCGGCTGAGAAGTTGGGCAAGTCCCAAAACTGGCATTCTATTGATATATTTAGAAATTTCTTATAGTAATCAAATTTAATTGATCTTCCTATGGTGGGAGGAAGGTATACTTGGTGTAATAATAGAGAAGACTCTACTTGGGAAAGACTCGACAGGTTCTTAATCTCTGGGAGGTTTCTAACCTGTTTTCCGAATGTAGTGCAAAGACTTTTGCCTAGATCCTTATCTGATCATAATCCAGTTTCATTAGAGGATAAAGCTGTTAATTGGGGTGGGTCCTAAACCATTCAGATTTTTTAATTATCTATTAGAGGAGGAAGGATTTGAGAACTTGGTTAAATCTTTCATGGTTGATATGAGAGGGAGAAATAATAGAAGGGAAATCTTCAGCATTTTACAAGGAACAAAAAAATTAATCATAAATTAGTCAAGCAACAAATCTTTTGGGATTTCCAAGTCTATTTCTGATTTAGAAAGGAAAATTAATGAACTGGACTTTAAAGCTCAAGATGGAATTCTCTCGAAGCAGGAGTGGGATCAGATGATGCAGTTTAGAACTAATCTCTAGAGGCTGTATAGGATTGAAGAAAGCATTTGGTTTCAGAAGTCGAGGACTAGATGGATTAAAGATGGGGATAGAAACACAAGGTTTATTCATCTGTTTGCGCTGAATAGAAGCAAAAGAAATGAAATTTTAAGCTTGAAGATAAATGGGAATGTGGTTTCAGATCCTCAGCAGTTAAAGTTACATATTTCGGAATTTTTTAAGGCAACATACAACTCCAATTCAACAACGGAAGTGGAGGACTTACTTCTGGAATTTGCTAAGCTGTCAGGGGAACAGTCTAACAAGCTTGAAGAGCATTTCTTAGAACATGAAATTTGGCATGCTATAGCATCATCAGACAGCTCTAAAGCTCCAGGACCGGATGGTTTCACCATGGGTTTCTTTAAAAAATGTTAGCCAAGTTTAAAAGAGCATATGCTGAAATTTTTTGAAGATTTATATTTTGGAAGGAAATGGGCATGGTTTAAATCATGCGTTTATCATACTTATTCCGAAGAAGCTAAATCCGGACAACGTAGAGGATTTTAGACCAATTAGCCTTGTAGGCAGTTTATATAAGATCCTCTCTAAGGTTTTATCGAAGAGACTGAGTTGTTGTGTTGGTGATATAATTAGTCACTCCCAGTTTGCTTTTATACCGGGGAGACAGTTGTTGGATTGTGCTGTTATCGCAAATGAAGGGATTGATTATTGGAGAAAACAAGGGCTACAAGGGGTTGTTTTCAAAGTAGATTTTCGTAGAGCTTATGATTCTGTTGAATGGCCAATTTTAATCAGAGCAATGTCAGAGATGGGTTTTGGTAAGAGATGGTTGTCGTGGATATCTCAGTGTTTATCAACAGCTTCAATCTCGGTTCTTGTAAATGGGTCTCCCTTGGAAGAGTTTCCTATGGCCAAAGGACTTAGGCAAGGGTGCAGTTTATCTCCGCTTCTGTTTAACATTATAGATGAGCTGCATCACTTGATGTTAACTAAAGCAGTAGACAGGGGTCTTTTCCAAGCTTTCGTTATTGGGAAATCTGAAAACTCTGTTCGGTTGTCACATCTCCAATTTGACGATGACTTGATATTTTTTGTCAAGCATCTCTTTCCCAGATTAAAAATGTCAAGAGAGTGTTGAGGATTTTTAGTATTATGGCAGGGTTGCATCTAAATCTAGCTAAGAGCAAGCTGTTTGGTATTAATGTGGAAGAGGAAGTCTTAACAGATTAGGCATTAGCAGTGGGTTGTTCAGTTGGTTCCTTTCCAACAGATTACTTGGTACTTCCTCTCGGTGCTAAGAAAAACTCAGAAGCCCTATGGGATCCAGTCTTTAAGAATTTTAGCTCCAAACTTTTCGGGTGAAAAGCTTCTTGTCTCTCATTGGCTGGCATAACAGTTTTATTGAAGTCGGTGCTAACATCCTTACCAATATTTTTCTTATCTCTTTTTAGAATGCCTTGCAAAATTGGTAAGAAGCTCAATTCATTAATGGCCAGATTTCTATGGGGGTAATGAGGAAAAGAGGAGGATACACTGGGTGAATTGGAGATCAGTTTGCAAGCCTCTGAATTCTAGTGGTCTTGGTGTTCTTGATTTGAATCTTTCTAATCGGGCTCTTTTGGGAAAATGGATGTGGAAGTTCGCCAATGAAAAGAATACTTTGTGGAAAAGTGTGTTATGTAGCAAGCACAAGGTTAGTTGTAATACCATGTTTATTAGCAAGGTTTTTCTCCCAAATCTTCTTGGATTTTGAGAGGTATTGCTAACAATTTCTTGAAGAATGACTCGGAGGGTGAATGTATCAGATCATATTCAAAGTTGAAAGTGGGAAATGGAAAGTCTATTTCATTTTGGACAGATACATGGGTTGACGAGTTTCCTTTAAAAAATCTATTTCCTAGAATGTATGTGCTTTCTACAAACAAATGGGGTAAGGTTGCTGAGTTTGGCAGCTTTGATTCGAACGGTTGGGTGTGGAACATCGAAACCAGAAGGAATTTGTGTGACTGGGAATTGGATCAGTAGTTGGAATTGATTACAAAACTGAAGGATTTTAAACTGGCAGATTCAGTAGAAGATTTTTTATCTTGGTCTGCAAGTGGGGATGGATTGTTTTCAGTAAAATCTTGCATAAATGCACTCGGGAAGGTGTTTGGGGTTCTGATTTGTGGTTAAAAGGGGTGTGGTTGGGATTATCTCCTCCTCGTGTTGAAGCTTTCTTGTGGCAGCTAACTCATCAGAAAGTGGCAGTGAGAGAAGAGTTGGTGAACAGAGGAATGCAACTAGGGGATGATATTCTTCCTTTTTGTAAGAAACACGTGGAATCAGTGCAGCACTTATTTATTCCGTGTTATGTAGTTTGGGAATTATGGAATAAAATAGCAAACTTTTGGGATCTAGCCTTAGTACTTTCAAAGGACCCACCTTCTTTACTTAGTTCCTAGGGTGAGCTGAGGGGGAATTCGTTGATTTGGAAATTTATTCCGGGAGTAGTATTTTGGTCGATTTGGAAAGCTAGGAATGCAATGGTGTTCGAAGGTTCTCCCCTTGACAGGATGTCTCTGTTTTTTATTACTAGATTCAGGTTATCTAAATGGTTTCTAGCCAAGTACCCTAAGTTTCCTATTCAGGAAGATGTGCTGATTGGTGATCCATCTCTTGCAGATGGTATTCAAGTTCTTAAACCTAAGAATTTTCAGGTGATTCGTTGGTTCCCTCCCCTGTTGATTTTTTGAAGATGAATGTTGATGGAGCTGTTAGACTTGATGGCACAGATAAAGGTATAGGAGGTATTTTAAGAGACTGGAATAGCAACACTCTTCTGACTTTTTCAGAAAATGTAGGTCAAGGTCCCCTGCCGGTTGCTGAGTTAAAGGCTATAAAGAGAGGCATTGAAATCTATTTGTCTTCTTGCTGGGTTCCTGTTGGAAGGTTGATTGTGGAAAGTGACTGTAAGTCGGTTGTGGAATGGATTCAATCCCCGATTTTGGCTCCTGTTTTTATCTTGCCATTAGTTAAAGAGATTTCATCACTCATCTCGGAAAGGGTGCACTCAGTTAGGTTGATTCCAAGGGCGTGTAATGGGAGGCAGATAGTTTAGCAAAGTTGGGGATTGGTTGATTGTTAGGCTATATCAGTGGTTTTTCTTGTTTGAGTTTTAGGGTTTTGGTTGTTAGTAGAGTTGTTAAGTTTTTTTGTAATACAATATGGAGTTATTGTTAAATCTTATGTAATTTCGTACGAGTAATAAAATTTTTAAGGCACTTTTTTCCTCCTTCCGCTGATTAAGGAGCTTACTTTCAAGCTCCATTAATCAAGAAGGGGTTTTTTAATGAGGCTTGATATTCCTATAAAAAAATAACATGATACTTCAGTTACCACAACAATCGAATCGTAGATGTTAGATAATTAAGGCAATCATCAAATAATCTGAAAAGAGAAACTTTCAAATTTGAAATGTGTAAAAAATTCTTCTACTTTCTTATCTTGTTGGTTCAATTTATTTCCTAAGTCAGTAATGTTGAACTTAATTCCGGAAGGCAGGAGCTGTCTTGTGGACCTTATGGAAATGTCGGAATCATTTGATATTTGAGAAAGGGAAGTTAGATCAAATTCACTTGTTTTCTCTAACAAGATATAGATTGACTGCCTGGTTCTCGGCAAAGTTCCCTAATTTCCCTTTTCATTTAGACTGCCTTGTTGAGGACCCGACTTTGGCAGATTCCTGCAATTGTTCTAAGCAATCAAATCCTTCCTCGGCCTCTTGGAGTCCCCGCCCCCTGGTTTCTTTAAAGTTAATGTGGATGGGGCTGTTAACAGGGATTGGAAAAGGAGTGGTATTAGTGGACTTCTTAGAGATGCATAGAGCAAGCTGTTGGGTTCCTTTTCGGCTTCTACTGGTCCAGGCCCCCCATCCTAGCTGAATTGAAGGTCATTCAAGCTGGTTTGTCTCTGTTTGTGGATTCGGAGTGAGGTGCAAAGGGTCAGCTAATTTTGTAAAGTGACTGTCTTAATGCTTTTGAATTGGATAAAGAATCCAGGCACTTGCCTTGCTTCGTTTCCTCAGCTAGTCAATGTAATTATTAGGCACATCCAGAGATGTGCTAATTAGGAGGAGGATAAGTTAGCAAAGTCAAGCATTGGTTAATTTGGTTTGTATCTTGTCTGGCTGGGCAGGTTGTTTTGTTTCTTTGAGGGATGTGTCTAGCCTCGGTGTACTCTCAGCTGGGCTTTTAGTTTTCCTTTCTGGTGTATTTTGGACCCATTAATAAATTTTTTTTGTGGTACTCTTTTCCTCCTTCCTATGTTCGTTGAGTTACTATCTGTATTTCGATGAATATGAAGGGGGTTTTTAATGAGACCTCCTTCTCTTATCCAAAAAAAAATGTGTAAAAAATAAAAAGTTAATTATCTTGTCATACTCAATCTAACGACATAGTTGGATCTAATCTTTACCTTGGCGTATTTCCAGGTTTCCACCGTTTGTATTCTGTCAAGATATCGCACTCCTTTACATGGCAGGTTACCAAATTATGTCCCTCCACATCATGCTCCCCATGTATGCAAGGCCCAGCACATAGAATATGATCAATTCTTGTCCCATAATTGAATTGTTCGGCACCAGTATTTGATGGCCAGCATGTAAATGCATCTCTTCTGCAAAGAAGACAAAGATGAATATAAGAACTCTTCAATGAAAGAATAAATGCTTAGCGTTATAAGAGGAATGTTGACAAATTAAATGAATTCAATGTCACAAGGAGAAAGTTTAAACCTGTTTGGGTGTTTTGCCCTGAAAACATCAAAGAAACAACCTCTAGATTCCACAAGCTTGGATCTAAACCATGTTCTGAACCTAAAAATGAATTTCAACTGAATTAGTTACTTTAAAAGAAAATCGGTTTTGTCTCATAATGAAGACAATCTATATGTCAGAGGCTTACTCATTCTTCTCAAAATTGGGTCCTGCATCACAACGATCAATAGCACAAGGAGCAATGTTGAGGTCACCAACAACAAGAATCCTCCTTCCTTGTCGCAGCAGAGACTCCCATCTTTTCTACATCAAAGACAATCAGTTTTAATCCCATTGCACCGATTTCACATCTTACAAGTAACAATTCTTACCAAAACAAACTTCAGTACCTCTAATATCTTGAAAAAGTTAAGCTTGAATTGAATTCTCTCGGTATCACCATCCCCAGCTCGGGGTCCATACAAGTTGAAAAGAACTAACAAATATATTAAGCAAAGATTAAGATAAGCTCTCATCATAAAAAGAAGTAACACAATTGATAATACAATGTTAAACTAACCAAAATGAGCATGATCAGTGATAATGCACCGTCCCTCACTATCAACATGATGAAGCTCCTCTCTTGAAAACTCCTCAAGCCCTTCAGTTACGGAAGCGGCTTCATCTTTTCTAGAACAACCTAAGAGGCCCGTGAAGCCTTCCTCTGCCGCAACCGGCAATGCCACTTCTACACTTGAGAATGCCGACTTAACACGACAAAATGTAGCCACACCTGCAAATATATAATTTTTTTTTGAAAAAAAAGAGGGAACTTTTCTTCTTCTTCTTCTCGCTTTCTCATATAGGCATAGAATCAAACAGCTTACCGGAGTACCCAGTTCGGCCTTTACCGGAGGTATGAGTGCAGGAAAAGAAGGATTCATAGCCATCGGCTATTGCCAAATCCGCCGCTAATTCTTGTCTTCTCAACTTCGTCTCCTAACTCAACCCCAAAAAAGAAAATTAGGGATAAAAGTAAATTAAGGGATAGAAAAAATGTAGAATAAAAGAGGGGAAATTGGGACCTGGATGCAGATTATATCGGCATCAAAGGAATTGAGTAATTTGGGCAGAGAACCGAATTGGGAGACTCTTTGCCTCAGTCCATTTACGTTGTATGTTACTATCTTCATTTCTTCATAACTTAATCAATTCCAGCTCCTTTCTTTTCTGGTTTGCCCCAACCGAATCTCTCTCCTTCGGATGGATTTCCTTGCGATATCGCCGCTTGCTTTTTCTTACTAATTCTTGGGATTCTTTTAAGAGTTAATTACATCATATATCCTTAAATTATAATATTTATTTTAGTTAGTCCTTCAAGTTTTAAGTATTCCAATTTAATCTCTAAACTACGACTATCATTTTAAATTAGTCTTTAAACTTTTGTACATTCTTATTTCATCCCTAAACTATGACCCTCTTTCTACCTCAAACTTTAAAATCTTTCGATTTCATCCCAAAATTCATCCAAATATATAATTAGTTTCAACCATAGTTTAATCAAGATTTTGTTTTTTTTTAACATATAATAATATAATTTGGCCTAACAATTTTATAAAAAATATGTGATTAGTATATACGTATATTTTGGGATAAAATTAGAATGCTAAAAAATTTTGGAAATCAAGTTAGAATAAATGTCATAGTTTGGGGATAAAATTAAAATTATCAAAAGTTTAAAGACTGATTTAGAAGGTTGAAATTTAAACATTTAAAGTTTAAGGAGTCATACTTTAAGACATTTGCAGCAATTAACTTATTTTTAATATTAGAAAAGGTTAAATTACAAGAATCATTATTGTACTTTGCTCTATTTCTTAATTTATTTATTTTACTTTAAATCCGTTCAATTTTCTCACTGAAGTTTATACATTTAGCATTTTTAGTCACTCGACCATTTTTCTCACTAACGGCGTTATGACGTGGAATTTTTATTATTATTTTTAAATAACAATTTTCAAGTAAAAAAATTAAAAAAAAAAACCTTTTTTCTGCCCCATTATGTTCTCCTCATAAATCCATGGACTAACTTAAAAGTATACTCGAACAGAAACAATTTTATCGTCGCATGATAATCAAAAGAGGTTGGTTTCTATTTTTCTTGGCGGGGAAAGGCCGACTTCGAGATTGTGGATTCAGATGCAAATAAAAAAATACGTTAGATATGGATCTGAAAATTCAAAGTATCATTATCATAGATGAGAAGAAGTTTGGATTTTAGAGGATTAAAGTACTACGAAATCTCAAATGAAACCGTGATGCTGAAAACCAATATCCCAAACGAAAATGTGATTCTGAAAACCAAAGCAAATCAAACTTCATCACCACCACCTTAAGTTGACAGCAATAGAATCTTCCATTTCTTTTGCAGAGTCAAGAAGCCTCTCCATCTTTGGATATGAGGGGAAGAATTTGTACATGGCTGCTTATGATTGGAAAATCCACATTGCACTATCATTTAACCTGGAGGAAATTGACAGGTGAGTTCCTCGTATACCACCCTGGAGAGGATGCTAAAGGAGGGGGAGAGAAGAAGAGTTGAGCGGAGAAGAAGAGAATGAGAAAGGAAAAAAAGAGTTTTTTTTTGCTTTTGTCTAACTTTTTTTCTGACTTGGAAAATGTTATTTAAAAATAATAATAATAAATTCCACATCATAACGCCATTAGGGGAGTAAAAGAGTGACCAAAAACACTAAATGCATAAAGTTCAGTAAAAAATTGAATTGATTTAAAATACAATAAATGAAATAGAAAATAGAGCAAATCGCAGTGATGATTCATATAATTTACCCAAAAAATCATTAAGATAAAAACTTAGAAACAGCAGCAGCCCAATAATTTGGATTTTACTGTACCCAAACAACAAAAAAACAGGCCGACATTAGCTTAAGAAACCCACAATGGGCAACTAAAAAATCTAAGCAACACCAACAATCAATTGGTCTAGTGGGATGAGGCACTAGATTTCTTAAGCAATGTCAGGGGTTCGAACCTTAACGTTTGCGAATGGAGAAAACTGGATTGGGAGGGTCGCTCTCGTCTCTACAATACATGATCTGGATTAGTGGATCAATAGATTAGACACCGGTGATTAATTCAAAAAAAAAAACTAAGCAACAAAAACCTAAAGAGCATAGGCTCTAGTGAAATGGTATAAGGGGAGACCTTGATTTTGTTGGTGTTTTCATGTTTATTTATATGTAAAGCTTTTAGAAAGGTAATTGGGGGTGTTAAAAGTTTTTGTTAACCGATTAAACCGATCGAACCAAAATTTTTTTTTGATTAATCAGTCGGTTAACTTAAGGTTCGATTGATTAACGGCTAATGATCTTTTCAAAATTTGTTTATCGATTAATTCGGTTTGAAATCAATTAATTAATCGAATTAACCGAAATTACTAAATATCAAATTTATAAATATTATTTATATATATTTAGACTAATCTGCTCCAGACCCATTAGTTACAAATCCAATTTGTCTAACCCAATTAACTTTAACTCATTAAAGACCCATTAAAGATCCAATTAACTTAAACCCCTAAAAATAAATAAAATGTTAAAATCAGTTGGGAAAAAAAATTAGGTCGAAAGAACCCTGAAGTCTTCAACGCCCAAACGTGAAACGGCTGTTACTCTCTATCTTCTCAAAAACTTCTCAATCCTAAAGTTCTTCTCAAGAACTTCTCAATCCTACGATATTAGATTTTCGAGCTTGCATCTTTGAATCTTTTCGAGCTGGTAAGTTATCAAACTTTTGTTACATATAATTTCTGCTTATTTCTTTCCCCCAAATATATTCCAACTTTGTAATTTGTAGGTGAAGCGAGTGGAACTGCTTAAATTGTTCAAAGTACCATAACAGAGTTGAAAATCAGTGCAGATCTATTGAGGTAGTTCAAAACAATGAATTTTTGTTTTCTATTTTTTTTTTGCATGTACTAATATATATACTCTATCATGTTGGTTTGAGAGATTTTGTTCACTTCTGTTTATTTGTTTGCATGATTTGGGGTTTAGGGTATGTAAAAATTCTTGAGGATTTAATGTCTATAGAACACAGGGCATTGTAAAAAACTAAAAATATAGAAGCTGTTAGGAGCCATCTTTTTCTAATTGAAACCCTAAACCATTCCATTAAAAAACAATACCAATCCCTGTTTATACATGGAGTTGTAAGTAATTTATAAGACAATAAACCAATTGAAGATTAGAAAACTTGATTTTGAGAAATTAAAAAAAAAAATAAATAAAGGGGAGTCAATAGAATTGAATATTTGAAGTAGCATAAAATTAAAGAGTTGGTGGTGCATAAGTAATTGTTCAGTGGTTGAGTATATTTTTTTCAAGAGGAGAAGTTCATTATTTATTACATCATTAATCTTATTTATTATTAGTTGGATTAATGAATGTATTCATTATTCATCTTGGAATGCATTAGATCCTACCCTCAATTCATAAGCTCATAAGCTTATTTACTGTGAGATTGTGAGTGTGAGTAGAAGGAAGGGTACGCATTCTAGTCTTTTAGCGTGTATTATATATGATCGAATTTTTTAATGTTTATTCTAGTCTGTTTTTACTGATATAGTATATATTTTGTAGTGATAATGCAAATGATGATTTTTTAGAAGATTTAATAGATGCACGTGAAGAATTTTGAAGAATGAAGACTGCTGGCTGCTGCTCCCTATATAATTGTATTAGTGGTTCTTCTAACTTGGTTTATTAGACTGTTTTTACTGAATTATTAATGTATGGAGGTCGGAATGTATGGAACTTCTTTTCTTTTTGTATTTCGTTATGCTTGGAGGATGGAATGATGATTGTTGAATTATGATGCAAACTGGTTTTTCAATGAAATAAGTCACACTAATGTTATTTTAGAAATGGAAAATTTGTAATAAATTCAGTTAATCTGTTAACCGAACCGATTGAACACCCCTAGAGGTAGTTGGAGGTGAGACATCAAATGGGGAAGGAAAAAGCCAAGTTATCTTAGACTTAAATCAATATTCTACTAAGAAAGGATTAAAGTGAGTGTGAGTGTGAGTGCGAGTGTGAGTGTGAAACGAGAACATTTATATGTTATTTCTAATGTAGAAAACTTGCTCATATAAGTTTTGTTAGGCTTTGGTGTAGGGATCAGGTTGGGTTAGGCTTTCGGCCAATTCGATCCAATCCGAAAATATAAATCTCTACCTAAAACTCGATTTGACATGTCTTTTGAGATAAAACCTGAACTTTAATTAATTCGACCCGAAACAAATATATTTATAAAAATTCTTAATTTTATTTAAAAAAATAATGATTTAATTGAAAAAAATATAGAGATGAATATTATTGCAATTATCCTTAAATATATAAAGTATTATTGCTAACCAAAAATTTTCTTTAATTTCTTAATCAAAACAATAACTTGAAAACACCCATGATAAAATAAATTAACCATATTTATATAAAATAGTTTTACATTAAGAGCTCTTAAAATAAATGATTCAAAATATACAGACCAACGTTTATAAATGAAGTTACGACTTGAATATACAAAAAGAGGGTCTACAAATATACATGCCCTCTAAAGAAATAACTCGAGACGTACTCTGCTTAGCAACTCGGTATGGATCTTGATTGCTCAAAAAGCTCCTTGACTGCTCCTTCTACTAACTTGCATAAGGAAACAAATTTCAAACTCTGAGTTTACTAGCCTAGTGCCACACTAACAACTAAACTATACTAAAAGTATTCATCAAATGCTCATGCAAGCAATGAGTATACTCGTATACTGCACTCTCTACTTTATGGTAGACATCATGGTGCGGTTGAGGGTCCTATATTTTGGAGCTCATGCACCCCTCTAGTCTAACGAGGATTAGCCCCGAAATCTCTACATCAGATGCAACACCCTCAACTAACCCACCTATTGCGAGTGTTGGGCCTCGATCCTAGTTAGTCAGTTTAAAGTGCCTCGTGTACTACCTAAGGATATCTAGACTGATTTTATTACTCGAAACTAGTATCATTCACTAAAGTGACTCAGGTGTCCTGATCGTTTCTCGAGTATTCAAACGAGGCTAGTTTTGTGTAACTCTAATTAATCTCGTTTTTAATGTACTTAAGCAATATTATCGTTATCACTTGAAGTCTTATTAGAGAGTAATTAGAGTTCTTAGGAAACCTCATCACTTCTTAGCATCCCTTGGATTTAAAGCCCCCAAAGATATGCTAGTATCGATACTAATCACCTCAGTATCGATACTGACTCTAGAGTATCGATACTCTACCTAGGGAGTCGATATTCATCAGCTGGTTTTAACTAAGAAATAAGGAGGACTAATAGCGATATTCTCATCCCAGTATCGATACTCCCAAGCTAAGGTATCAATATTGACCAGGATATCGGTACCAAAATTGTATTCTAGAATTTGGTTTGTAATCTCGGTATCAATACCACATCGTGGGTATCGATACCAATCCAGTAGTATTGATACTCCGTTGATGAGTATTGATACTCCCTTTTTAACTTAGGCTAATTTTACACCAAAAGAAGAACAATATTGGTATTGATTGTTGTTATAACGAAAATTAGACGAATCAGCATTTATCATGGAACTTCTCTGGGCGCACGTTAGCAGGTCTGATGGGCTCTCAGATTTGCTTCTCTTATGCTAATTTCTGCTTCTCGCACGCTGTTTTGGTTGTTCTTCTTTGCAAATTTGTTTTTTCTCTTATGGAATTGAGGACATCTGAGCTCGATTGGAGGAAGCTTTTTCGTGGTTTGCAGGAACAAGCCCTAGATTTCTTTCCTCCCGAAGTTTTGGAGGGTATATCTACTGTTAAGCCTCTACCCAATGTAATTGAGGAAGGACTTGTTGAGTGGAATAATGCGGTGGTAGGCCAATTTATTGGATTCGCTCCGAACTTTGGATCCATGCAGAGAATTGTTGATATTTTGTGGGGGAAGCTATCATCGGTTAAGGTTAGTCTGGCTGGATTAAACCTCTTTGTGTTTTCCTTTTCTAATGCTGAGATGAGAGATTGGGTCTTGGAGAATGGCCCTTGGCACATTCAGAATAAACCTTTAATATTAAGAAAATGGGAACCAAATATACAGAGATTAGATTTTGATCTTAGACAAGTACCAGTTTGGATTCAGCTTTATAATGTCCCCATCGAGCTTTTCTCTAGGAATGGTCTTAGCTACATTGCTAGTGTTGTTGGGGTTCCCCTCTATATGGACACTGTTACTACCTCGAGGGAGAGGCTTGAATATGTAAAGGTTTGTGTAGAAGTTGAGGCAGGGGCAGTTATTCCTGATGTAGTTAATGTAGTTCTGCAAGATGACTCCTTAGTCAAGGTCCATATTGATGCCCCTTGGATGCCCAAATTCTGCTCTCACTGTAAAATCTTTGGGCACCTGGCCAATGTATGTGTTGAGGGGGTTAAAGCTCCTATGAAAAATAAGGAAGTTTGGAGGAGGAAAGTGAACTCCAATTTACCTAATCTTTCTGATAAGGGAAATTTGGATAATTTTGTTACTGTGGTAGAGAATCTATCTTCTGCTGGCTCTGGATCCAACCCTGCTGATGGAGGATCTCTGCCTTTTGACCTGAAGGTTGGTAATTCAGAGGTGTCGAATGTGAAAGGCCTGTAAGAAAATAATGTAGGCAATGTACAAGTGCTAGCTGGAGACAATACAATCCAGTCTCAATTCCCTATTGAGTTTGCTTCTGCTGACAATAGTGGAAAGGTTTCCCAGAAGTCTGAGGCCAATGGTAATGATGATTTGGCACCTGATGCAATAGGAAAGGTTATTTCCACTGACAATTTGGTTAGCCTTGGTTGTGGTGGAGAGTTCCCCTCGCTACAAGATTCACTGCTCCAGAAAAAGAAAGCATGGGGGAAAAGGAAGGATAATTCCGGCACTTCTAGTAAATTGGAGCTACTTGCTGGTGGTGGTGGTGTTGATGGTAACATGAAAGCTAGAACTACTTCCTTGGGGGTTGCTATGCTTCTCAATGAGATTAAAGCAAAGAAAAAAGATCACATTGAGAAAGTCAAAGGTAATGGGGTCAGTTGTAGTTAATGACCCTCTTATCCCTATTTGATGATTTTTAGTTTTTGGAATGTTAGAGAGCTCAACAGTGGGCTCAAGCAAGGAAAGGTCTTGAGAAGGTTGGAGGTTTTAGGTGTGGATGTAATATGTTTCATGGAAACTAGAGTTAGGTATATTAATTTTCCTAAGATTGCTGATACTTTGGCTGCTGATTGGAATATAATTGCCAATTATGAGTACTCTGAGGGTGGTAGGCTTTGGATACTGTGGAAAAAGTGTCTTTCTTTCTCTGTACTAAAAGGTTGTGACCAAGCTCTCTCAATTGTAGGAGATGTGGCTGGTAGAAAGGTTGTTGTTATTGTTGTCTATGGTAGCAATAATAGTCAGACTAGAAGAGGATTATTGGAGCATTTAAGAAATTTGGATGTTGAAATTAGGTTTGTCCCTTGGGTGATTGGGGGTGATTTTAACACTTTTGTCAGTGCAGAAGAGAGCTATGATTGTGATGCTTTGGGGTTGCAAAGCATCTCTGATATGGAGGACTTCAATGATTGCTTGATGGATTTAGAGATTCATGACCATCCTTTCACAGGTCCACTTTTCACCTTGTCCAACAAACAAGAAAGTAACTTCTTGGCTCGAAAATTAGATAGAGTTTTAATTAACTCTCAATGGTTGTTGGAGTTTGCTGAATCAGCTGTGGAATTTAAAGCTCAGGGGCCTTCTGACCATTGCCCTGGGATTCTTTGGACTTAGAAAAGTGCTCAGGTAATTCGGCCTAAGCCATTCAAGTTCTTTAATTGTTGGACTGCCAATGAAATTTTTTTGAGGGTTGTAGAAGGTTGTTGGCATGAACATTATGAGGGGAACCCTATGTTAGTCTTGTTTAATAAGTTATAAAGACTAAAACCATTGTTAAAAGACCTCAACAGAAGCTGTTTCTCTGATACCACTAGCAGAGTGGCAGCAAAAAAGGCTGAACTTGAATATGTTCAGCTATATAATCTTGCTCATGTAGATCATAGAAGGTTGGATGAGGAAAAGAAGCTCCAGGCAGAATTAATTGCCCTGAAATCTGCTGAATCTGATTTTTTTAGGCAGAGAGCCAAAGTCCATTGGCTTCAAGAGCGTGATTTGAACACTAGGTTTTTTCATCAGAGAGTGGAATTGAATAAGAAGAGGAATACTATCAAAGTCATTAAGGATAAAAGTGGGGTGTTCCATGAAACTTTTGATGACATGGCAACTGAGCTTGAATTTTTTTTAAGAGCCTTATAGGGGATGTTGATTCAAGGGTGAAGGGTTGTTCTGTTGGCTGGCTTAAATCTGTTCTGAATTACTCTTTACCTGCTGGAGCTGAGGATCTCCTTGCTGGTGTGATTACTGATGCTGAAATCACGGATGCCTTGTTCAGGCAGGGGAAAAACAAAAGCCCTGGACCTGATGGCTATACTTTTTGGTTCTTCAAGGTTGCTTGGGGGATTGTTAGCAAGGATTTTATAGGGGCTGTAAGGTATTTCTTTCAAACATCCTCCCTGTTACCTGCTTTTAATGCCACCACCATTGTCTTAGTTCCTAAGTCCTTAAATACATGTATGGCTAAGGAATTTAGGCTCATTTCTTGTTGTTCTGTGGTTTATAAGACAATCACTAGAATATTAGTCACTAGATTAGCTGTATTCTTCCCTAGCATGATTTCTTTAAATCAGTCAGCATTTGTCAATGGTAGAAACATTGCTGATAACACCTTACTTGCCCAGGAAGTAGTTAGGGGTACTCTAGGAAGAATTTTTCCCCT